TCCAGCTGGGACCTTATTACAGTTAAGAAACTAGACCCCCGTTCCAACAACTTAATTCAGGGCCAGCCCACTTTAACTCCCGCTGTGGATCCCATTGGTGTAACCCCATATGAATTACCTTTACTGATAAGGGGAAAGCATCCTCCCTTTGGCAAGGGAGAGGTGCCCAATGGGGACTTCGCCTCTATATTTCAGGCCATGACATTGGCCTTACCTTTAAGATCCAGCTGCTAAGAAACCTTCCTTTCACCAAGAAGGTAGCCATTGGACACAACCCAGAGTTACATCCCAATAAGGGCACTAAGGGCAAACCTCCTCCACAGATACCCCCTGCTACTAGCTCCGTAGCTCATCCCCCTACTGTGTTTCAGCCGATCATCCGACCATCCCTCCGGGCCCTCCTCCGATGACCTTAAACTTTCACTAGTTAATTTTATGGTTCAGGCCATCCACCAGGCCAACCAGTCCCTCATAGAGGACTGTTAGGTCTGCTACTCTTCCACCCCTCCCTTTTATGAGGGCATTGCAGGTTTTTGGGATCTACACCCCACTAACGATACCTCTTCCCTACACTGGAATCCAACTGACGGCCAAGGACTAACACTGGGACAAGTGTCAGGTTTGGGCCTATGCCTTCTTGGGCCAGATATGCTTCCCCCAACCCCCCTTTCTCAAACTTGCAATCAAACCCTTATAGTTAATTCCTCTTTTCTTTATATCTCAACTTTTAATAATTCTTATCTTGCCTGCTCCTCAGGATTAACCACCTATATTGTTATCTCGGTATCTTTGTCTAAAAGAGATTATTGTGTCCTGGTTCAACTATTGCCCCACCTGACCATCCATGATCCAGACACCTTTTTGAATTTCTGGGATCAAGGCGCTGCCCTCCAGTCCAGACCCAAAAGAGAGCCCATTACTGCTATCACCTTGGCGGTTATCTTAGGCCTGGAAGCCACGGGAGCAGGAGCAGGACTAGCAGCCTCATTAGTCCCTCCAATAAACAATATGCACAATTAAGCACAACTATAAATAAAGACATACAGGAACTACAGAGAGGACTAAAAAATCTCAAAGATTCTGATGTCTCCCTCTCTGAAGTTGTATTAAAAAACAGGAGAGGCCTCGACCTCCTTTTCCTACAGCAGGGGGGCCTATGCGCTGCCCTTAAGGAGGAATGCTGCTTCTACTCAGAAAAGACAGGCCTAGTCGAAGATAGCCTAAAAAAGGTTCAGGATAGTATAGAAGAACATAAGAGACTAAGAGAACAAGCTGAATCTTGGTACCAAAATTGGTTCTCCACCTCTCCATGGCTTTACACCCTGTTACCTTCCATCCTTGGTCCTATGGTTGGGTTTTTCATTTTAATCTCCTTTGGGCCCTGGGCTTTTCAAAAACTAACCAGATTCATTAAGTCCCAGGTTGACGCCATCCTCAAAAAACCGGTTTTGGTTCACTACCATTGCCTGGAGGCATTAGATTCTAAGCTGCCTGATGACAATGAAAAACCCCACAGTCCTAAAGGACTGGATTTTTCAGGCCTTGAACATCGAACCTCCCGATTTCCTTGGCCTTGGAACCGTCCGTGATGGCAATATTGTGATGCTACAAGCCAGATGCTGACCCTTCCCAGCAGCTGTAGCGTCCTCCATGACGGGTTTAGCATGAGACTGACCCCCAGATGCCCACTCCAAAGCACTCCTGAGCTGCTAGCCTTATGAAGGGTCATCGGAGTGCTGGGGGCAGATGCATCTCACATAACCTAAGACAGAGGCACTACTCCTCACTGTCATATAAATGACAATATCATAAAACATAGGGTCCTGGATGCGGGTGCCCATCACTTAGCCTAAGCCAGACACTCCATTTTATTATACTTAGTAGGGGGAGATGTCAGAAGCCAGCCTCGGCCACCTCCTATGCCTAGCTAGCCGCCAGCTAGCCTAGCATCCCACCCCTCAGGTTCTGGGACCTGGCCTGAGAAGCAACTAACACCTATTCCTTCCCCCTCTTCCTTAAGACAGGAGATTCCGGATACCTGCCTGAGAGCAATTAACATGCATTCCTCCCCCCACCTCCTTTTTCTCTGCTTTCTCCTTTCTCTTTAAACATCCCCTTGGTTTCAATAAAGTTGGCCTTGACAAGGAAATCTGCTTGGTCCCGCTCTTTCTTTCCTGCCCATTATTTGCAGGCGGGATCCACCTCGGACTCATGAATTGCCGGAGCCCCACCGGCCGGGGCATCTAGGCAAGGCTACCAGTGGTGGGACTGGGTTGCATTTGGTTGAGCTGCTGATCAAGAAGGTCCTGAGGAGATCCCTAAACAACCCAGGCTAATGCTAGGACAGAAGGTCATTCTCTGAGAACTGACAGCAGGCCATGGTGCAGAGGACAACTTCTACTTGTAGAGAGGTAGAGCTGGTGCCACACACAGCCTTCACCCTTGCATTTTAGTCTCCGGTGCAGGAAGGGACTCTGCAGGCTATGGAAAGAGAAACCTAGACACCAACCCAACCACAAAACCCCGAACCTACAATCTGTCCTGCCTGCAAGATGTACTGGGGCAAGTTGGTTGGCACAGAACTTGTGAGAGTAGCCAACCAGTATTTGGTTTAACTTGAGGCCCACTCCACATGAGGGAGTCATACTCTATCTACACTGTCTGGATGACTAGGAATTGGAGACTGCACAACCCAGGGATCTAGGATGGAACCAAACAAAAAACCGAAACAACAACAAAACAAACAAAAAACAATAAAATGACTCCTAATGATATTTTGCCATACTCATAGAACAATGCCTTGTCCAGTTATCATCAGATAGGCTTCCTCCTACAGCCGATGGGAGCTGGTATAGAGACCCACAGTCAGACATTATGCAGAGATAAAGAGAGCCTAAATTGGAGGAGGTCTCCATTGGGTCCCTCCCCTCAGAGATCAGGGAATCCAGTGGAAGGGGAAGGGGGACTGAAGGAGTCAGGGGGGATGGAGAACACTGGGAAAAACACGGCTCACTGAATAAACTAAGCTGGGCTCACATGGGTTCACAGACACTGAAGCAGTAAACACTGGGGCCTGCAAGGGTCTGCACCAGTCCTCTGTGTATATGTTAAGGCTGCTAGCCTGGTGTTTTTGTGGGGCTCCTAACAGTGGGATAGGGTGGGTCTCTGACTCTTTTGCCTGCTCCTGGAACTCCTTTCCTCCCATCCGGTTACCTTGTTCAGCCTGTTGAGGGCTTTATTCGTGTCTTACTGTATTTTGTTTTGCCCCATTTGTTTGTCTTCTCTTAGAGGCCTGTTCCTTTCTGAAAAAGAAACAGAGGGAGTGGAACAGGGGGAGAGGGGAAGTGAGGGGGCAGGGAGGAGAGGAGGGAGGGGAAACTGTGGTATAAGTAAGGAATCTGTTTTCAATTGAAAAAAAAATGGGTGAGCTGGGGGTTGTGGGATGGGAAGGAAATGTCTCAATTTTCCAGGAGTTTCTTGAGTTATAGAAAAGAAAAAGATTATAATCTGTTAGAAAATGGAAAACACACAGAAAATAACCAAAGCATACCAACTTATAGCTCACTCCTGCAGCTCACACAACACAGATTTCCTCTAATTTTTGTAGGTATTTCCACCAAATCAGCTGCTGATACTCCTTCAGTTACTGTTTGTGAGTATTTTAGGCCCACATTTTGTTTCCACATCCTCTTGCTTACAATCAATCCCAAGCTACTTACTGATGAAGGATGTGCTTTCAAGGTACCCTCTGCATGTCAGGGTCACTTCGAAGAACACGGAGTCTTCATCCACAATGTAGTACTCTTTTTCCAAAAAAATCCAAGCCCAGCGTAGATGGAAAGGTTGATTTGTTAGTTTATGTCCTCCTGTAATGGGTGGAGATAAAGAAGACCTCAGCAGGTTTTTTGTAGAGAAGACATGTTCTTTGATTTTTCTAGAGAACATTATAAATAATTCTCAACACATGGGTATCGACCACCACAGGGGTTGCAGATCAGATATTCTGCGTATCAGATGTTTACATTAAGACCAATAACAGTGGCAAAATTACAGCTATGAAGTAACATTGAAAATAGTTTTATGGTTGGGGTCACCACAGCATGAGGAACTGTATTAAAGGGTCGAAGCTTTAGGAAGGTTGAAAACCTCTGGCTTAGAGAAACAATGGTACAAATTGTTGGGCACAAATTAGATATTCAAAGCATGTCAGTTATTTTCATCAGGGCTTTTATCTTTTTGTTTTTATTTGTGTGTGCAGGCATATCTGTGTTTGGGTATGTACAAATGGGCAAAGGTGCCCATGGATGCCAGGAGACGGTGTCAAAGCACCTGGAGCTGGAGTTATAGGAAATTGTGAGCTTCTCAACGTTCATCATAGCTTTAAAGGGGTACAGACTTGATTTCTACCAGGTTATCTACTCCTGGTACAATACACTTTTAGTAGCAATTGGATTATTTGCATTAAAATTTTCTGCTAGCCTTAAGAACAGCCTCTGCTTTTGTCATAGCATCTCAGTCCATGGCATCTTATTATGATTTAATGTTAGTTAGCTTAGTCCTTGAGCAAGATAAGTAGATGTGAAAGTGTCCCTGCCTCAGGCATGAGCTCATCAGTCTCTGGCTTGACATCTAAGGCAAGCCATTGTGTTCTGCAAGCCCATGCTTGCTGTTGGGTTGCCTATCAATTCCCTCCTAGGGAAATGAGAAACACAGGCAGTGCAGTGTGGCACCTAGCAGATGTTTGCACCAGGTGTGTTGAGAGGAAGAAGCTAGGTGAAGCCAAGAGGTGAGGTTCATCTATGGGTGTTTTGAGGCTGTTGTCACTAACATTGCTAAATAATGACTACCTCAGAAATAAAGAAACAAATATCTAAGAAACAGTTTGACAGAGCTTCAGTGTAAAGATAAATGCTCCAAGTACATGCAATGAGACACTGAAGAAAAGGCAAAACTAGTCATGAAATCTAAAAAACTCCAAGAGGTAAGAGAGCATTAGAAAACTCTCTCCCAAGAAATGAATGACCCTCCCCTGTTATATTGGCCATACCCCACAGACTGATCTGAAAGAAATATGCACCCCTTAAAAGATGTTAAAGACATTACTATATTTGAATTAAATATGGACTTTTGTCAATGACAATATCTGGTGCTGGGATTGGCTTATACATGATGCCTCCTTTAAGAGGTAGAGCCTCCTGGGAGAGTTTCACTCATGGAGACATGTCTTTGAAAGGAATACCACTACTCTAATCTCTTCCTTCTCCTCCCTTTCACTTTTGCCATGAGGAAAGGTCTCTCCCCCCATAGACTCCAGTGATACTCTCAGCCTTGCCAGGGCTCCCAGATCAACAGGCCGACCAACAGTGGACTGCAACCTCTAACACTGTGAACCATGGTAAACTTTTCTTCCTTTTTTTTTTTTTTTGATTATGTTAGGAACTTTGTTACAGTAAAGAAAAGCTGGCTAGCACAACTATTAATGCAATGATGAAGATAACAACTAACTGCAGAGTTTCTAACTTCCTGAAATGTAAACCACTGCTATATAGGTTTGCAAAATTCCAAACAATTTACTATCATATGCTTTGGTGGGGGAGTTGAGCTACCCTTTCCCTTTCACAGTTTGACATCGTATCAGATTTATACCTGAGAACCTGAAGTCCTTCCCACCACAACGGAAAGTTATATCAATCCTATCAGCTCCCAAGTGCGAATTGCAGACCTCAATGACACAGTCCAAATGCATATAAACTTGGGGGTTCATTTAGAGAGCTTAGGTCATGAATGAGTGTTGTGACAGGCTACCCTCTGTTAGCCACTTCTTGAAACAGAGCTCAGGTCATCAAAGAAATACCTTGTAAGCTTTGGGGTTTTGAAGCCATATCTGTTGATATGGACACTAGTTATAGTATCAAGAGATCTCATACATCACCAAGGAACTACATTGCAGTAGCCAAGCCACAGTCTCCTGAGAAAGACTCATAAAATTAAACTACAGACTATCTGGCTAGGGTGGTGCATGTCTTTAATCCCAGCACTAGGGAGGCAGAGGCAGGTGGATCTGTGAGTTCAAGGCTATCCTGGTCTACAGAGCTAGATCCAGGACAGCCAGAGCTATGCTGAGAAGCCCTGTTTTGAATAATCAAACAGCAGCAGCAGCAGCAGCAACAACAACAAAATACTTCGAACTTATCAGAGTTGCCTTTCTAGAGAGGCTGGCTTCAGTTCTAACTGAGCTACTACACCTTTATACATTTGGAACTCATTCAGGGCTAATTTACCTCATTGTAAATTTACCTCATTTATCAAGTATATATCCTGTGAGACTTATGGGTGTTATTATTCTTCTTGAAACACTCTGAACCTAAGAAAACTTCTCTCTGGCAGCAAACCGTATTCATGAAATCATACTTAGATCGACTCTTCATTTCAACCTGTCTCAACAAGGGCACAAAATGATAACTCTTTCCTCTTGCAGTGTTGGGAAGTAAATCCAGGGCCTAGAGACTTCTAGGCAAGTCCTCTCCCACTGAACTACATCCCAGCGCACAGTGAGACTCCTGTCTTTACAGTTGTCTCTTATCAGGTTGAGAAATACATCAAGTATTTATCCAAGTACTATATTCAGTAGTATGTTTTATATAAGTATCAAATTATCATATTTTATACTACAAATGCAAATACTACTCAGCAAAAAAGACAAAACCTGGGGGCTGGAGAGATGGCTCAGTGGTTAAGAGTTCCGACTGCTCTTCCAGAGGTCCTGAGTTCAATTCCCAGCAACCACATGGTGGTTCACAACCATCTGTTATAAGATCTGGTGCCCTCTTCTGGTGTGCAGATGTATATGGAAGCAGAATGTTGTATACATATTAAATAAGTAAATAAAATCTTTAAAAAAAAAAGACAAAACCTTTAGATACTGTATCTAGGAAGACTTAATACCTGATTTATCTTAGTTACCAAGTCTTAGTGCAGAAATAAAATTTCCTTTAAAAATACAAGAATTTGGAATTAAAATTAAAAATAAAAATTGGGCCAGCAGCACATGTGGACAAGTCTGATAACCTGAGTTCAATCCCTGGAACCCACAGAGCAGAAGGAGCTCTACTCCAGCAAGCAATCCTCTGACCTTCTCACATGTGCTTGGGTGTAGCGATGTGGTAGATGAATGCAAAGTAGATGAATGCAGAGTAGAAGATGAATGCAAAACAGTTAAAACTTGAAAAGAAGGGATTAGAAACAGCCGGAGAAAAACTTGAAACTGCATCTAATAAATTCTGACTCCCAAACAGGCAAAATTAAATACCAGATGATAAATTAGCAGCTGTTGTCAAATGTTTAAGACTTTGAATATGTGTGGGAGGGTATTGTTGAGTAGGGTATACGGGATGCTTAATAATTGCAATGAACACTTACTGTCACATACTCATGTTTTCTGATACTCTATGACATATTCAAATAACTTCAACCATCATAAGCATTTCATTTCTGCAGTTCCTACCCTAATGTAGTTTAACATGTATTTAAATTCATTTGCAACTTTTTTTTTATCACGAATTTGGGAATATAACCTGAAGGTAACAGCTGTCAAATAGTACATATCATTTGGAAAACATTCCACAGTACCTCATGGGGATGCATTCTTCTGAATTAAGGTTTGATATCCTCAGTTGCATGGCCTCAGATTAAAAATTTAAGTCTTTTTCCCCTTCCAAACAGCTATAAATTTAGGTAAAAGAAACCTGAGATAGAAAAGTTTGCAAATTAAGAAATAGAAAAGCCGAATTGCATGTCCTCTGGGTCTCCATTTACTTCCCACAGTCATTCATTACCCAAGTGTTGGGAGTAGTGGGCAACAGTTTCTGAAGTATATCTTGTTGGTAAGTCATATCACCCCTCTCTCAAGACAGGGTGATCTTCCAGGTGACTGCCGCTTCTCAGACTTTGGTTTAATTCACATTTATTTGTTATTCCATAGGTCAGCCCCATGCTCCTGCTCAGTGCTTCAGAGGGCTGGGAGGGAGAGGCCACCTCTGAGCAGGTTCCAAAACCCCAGGCTGCCGCACTCTCTCCCTGAGATGGTAGGTTATTGTTGTTTTCAGAAAAGAAGTAGAAAACGAAGCTAAAGACTCCCCAAGGCTTGGGATCTCTGGAACCATTTTGAACTTGGCTCTACTATAGCTCCTCTGGAGATAAGAGTATGAATGCAGCAGGGAGTTCTTTGTTTTGGTGGGGGACGTGGCAGGTGTCACAGCTTCAGGCTCTAATCCAATAACAAAGTCATGTCTGCAACATTCTTTTTGGAGGTGCCTCCAAACTGTATTGATGATGATCTATTTGGCTCTCTATTTTGGGAATAAAAACCAATACATGTGTTCTCTCTTTTCTGCCCCATTCTTAAAATAGTGTGAGATCACAGGTTTTCTTAGATTATTTAGCATGGTTCAATGGAGGCATTACCAGCTTTGGACAGAAAATAAAGTCACCTGAAGAAGTCTCAAAACAATCTTAGAGAATTAAATAAAATATATTTCAAGGTTGTATTAGCAGTTTTAAATATATAGGAGAGCAGAAATACATAGGTTTTTATTAACATGTGGGCCAGTGATGAGGGTTTGTTGTCAACTTGACTAGATGAGAGATGCTTAGGTCATTGCTAAAGCACATTTCTGTCTGTCTGTCTCTGTCTGTCTGCCTTCCCCTCCTTCCCCTCTTCTCCTTCCACATGCATGAACACATATGCATACACACATTTGTAAATACACAAGCATATGCACACAACCAGTTTTCTCTCCAAGGAATCTCCCTTCTATGTTGAGATTGTGAGGGGACCAGGCCCTTACCCAGCCCCCTGCTTTGGCAG